GCAGGAATATGGCACAGGCATAGGGAAAGGGCAAATGGTGGGGGGCAGGCACAGGCATGGTTTGTGGGGAGGAGAGGGGAAAGCATAGAGGGGAAAATGGCAGGGGGGACAGGAACAGGTGGGGAGAGAAAGAAGCAGGGAGAGCAAAGGGCATGGGGTGGGAAAGGGTCAGAGATCTAGCCCCTCTCTCCCACCACTGCTTTCCACTCCACAGCTGCGGGGGATGAATTTAAGATGATCTTCCACTAATTAGATTCTATACAGGGAAAATTTACATTTACTAGTGAATTGCCCGTCAAAAATGACAGGGATGGGGGTGCAGGGTTCCCAGGAGCCAGGGGGGTGCAGGGAGAGGCATGCCCTGCCATCCCCTCTGTCCCGCTCTGCCAGGACTCCACAGCTGGTCCCCTCTGCCAGCACTGCCTCCACCTCCAGGGCTGGAGGGGATGGCAGGGACAGAGCGGCAAGACCCCGCCATGACAATGGGGATGGAGGGGACTGGGCAGGGAGATGCAGCGCTGCCCCCTGCCCCCTCTGTCCCCTCCATTCCCACTGTCATGACAGTGCTCCACCATGCCAGTCCGTCCCTGCCATCCTCTCTGTCCCCCTCCGCTGGGGACAGAGTTCCACCATGACAGAAGAGATGGAAGGGATGGAGCTGGTCAGTGCCGCCACCGCCTCCAAGGAGCAGGGATGGGGTGGAGGGGGTGCAAAGCCAGCAGTGCTGACCTTGGGGCGCCCTGCCCCATCCCCGCTGTCATGGTGGTGCTCCACCGTGTATGTCTGTGCAGAGCATTCTGATTAGTTGTTTCAGTAATCATTGTGATTGGCTGCCGAAACAACCAGAGTGCTCTAAAAGTGTTATGGACAGACACACAGACACAGACAGATGGACTAATCCCTTATATATAAAAACTCTTCATGTATAAACTCTAACTTTTGGGGGTGTCATGGATTTGGATAAATATCGTATGTGTGCTTTTAGTTCTCCCATATATAAAGGTGCCAATCTCACTTTCTGCCCATATATAAAGTGACTATTATTAAGTGGAGTTATGAACCTAATTGAGTCGTATAAATGCTTGAGATTTGTGGATCAAAAGCACCACGTACAAAGAAAATGTGGCTATAATCAGAACCAAAGAACTGCAATTCTGTACTGTAATTCTTCAGCATAACTGTTAAGAGAATTGACTCTAATACCATCACTAAATTTATATCTAAGTACGGCAAATCTTAAAGCTTTTACAGCAGCAAGTATTTTTGATAAGGAATGTTTTTGACCCAGTATTCCACTGCATTATTGCAGTTTTATATCAGTATGTAAACTTATGTACAGGAAAGTCAAGAGAACTAATCACATTTGTAACATAATTTATAAATCCACATAAAATTTAAGCAAAACAAAGCTTTGGCACAATTATTTACTTAAACAAAGTTTCAGCTTATAAAAAATATGCAGTGTATGATCTTCTTAAGGCCATTACTCAGTTTCCCATATTATTCACACAATTAAGATGGCTTTAGGGGCTCACATGCTAATATGGCACTATACTAGCAAAGACTGAGTACAGAGCTATATAATGGCAGCAGTCCTTCAAAGGAGGAATGCCAAGACCATCACTTTTCTGCTAACATGCAGCACCTGTGAAATTTGGCTTCAGTTCTACCTACCTGGACCATACTTGCAGATATAATTGTGCTTCATGTTGCATCTGTCATCATTCCACTGATAAAGATAAAGCCCCCCCAGGCCAGGGATGGCAGTTGGTTGATGATACATCACAACACAAGCTTCACTTCCACAGGAAGGCTCATCTGTGTACCAATTTCTAGAAGTGAATACAGATAACAATGTTCAAATCTTGCAGGTAAAAGGCACAAGTAAACATGGATATAGACAGAAATAACAATTGTATCAATATCAATTGATACCAGTATAAGTTGTTATATTGGTATAACAACTGGTATACAATGTAACAGTTACAACGTAATCATTATGTTTGCATGGTTTTGTAGTGATCCCAGTTCTGTAGTGATACACGTGTAGTAAAATGGCTGCAACTTTCATCCCGTTTCATTCAGGATTAGTGTTACAGTGATTAAGTGAATTTTGTATTGTACTGTTACAGGTTCATGCAGATCTAATAGTTACATCATAACAGCTGATGCTGGCTCCCAAGTGGCAGCTCCTGCCCTGCTTTAAACATAGTTATAAGATAAATTTGTCTATACTATCATTCATATGTATGGAGAAATGCCATCAACTAGTATAGGCTGTAAGTAACTTTAAAAAATCTTTGATCCCCAAACTGTAGGTCAAGGAACATCTAAGTAGAAGTGACCTCTCTCCACAATACTGCTTGCTTTCTCCACCCTTCTACTCCCCCCAACTACCAACTGGCCTTCTCTTCCCAAACATGGTATGGGTTATAAAGGGGGAGTCGTTGTGAACAGTCTGCAATTACTTACTCTTCTGTTAATCTTCTGGTTTGGAAGGCCAGAATTTGTTTGCCACATCCAACCCTAACCTTACTGAACTCTAGCTTCACAAGGGTGGAAACCTGTGGAGGCCTTACAAAAGATTTTCTGTGAGACTCCACTGAAAATACAAACAGCCACAGAGACAGCGCCTCATTCTTCTGTCTACAACTGGGGGGGGTAGTCGTGGGAAGTCTTGCATGATTTCCTGAATTTGTTTTATTGATATAACATGTGCAGTTTCTACATATAGGTATCATCAGCCTTACTGTTTTTATACCTATATAAATTGTAGTATTTGATATAAATGTAATGTTGATATATCTTGATATTATAGCCAAGACTGTTTTTTGTAAGGCAATGATTAACTTAACTAGTCCTTACCTATTCACCCTTAGAGGAGGTAATTGCTGAGAATTGGCATTTGACAGGGGTTTATTAATTCATCCACCCCCCCCCCCCCCCCCCCCCCGTCCCCGGTATATGTGCTCTAATGTATAGTAGCCAGATTATGACCAGAAATTTTAAAAGGACAAACTTAGGTATGAAGTAACACCATGAAATAGGAAGAACATTTTCCAGTGAAGAAAGATGGACTGTATATTTGATTAGCAAGTCTCCATGTCTGAAAGGATGCACATATTCTCCTGGTTTTGAGACTAGGAAAATCTTGTAGCTGGAAAATATGCATCTTTGGGGAGCAGGGAATTACTGGAGTAGAACCTCCTTACAACCCAATGGGTGATGTATGTGGATAGCCAGAGAGGAAAATGTACTTGCTTTAAGAGCATGGCTTTTCTTAGTCTTCATGGGTACAGGAGAGGATGAAGTCCCTCAGCCCTGAGGCTGAGTAAAGAAGCTGACAGGAGAACTTGCAGGAGGCCCTGATAGAAAGGTCAGAGGCGGGGTCTCCTTAACCTGTTAAAGCTGGTTAGGGTCTCTGGTTGGTTTTAAGGTTCAGGGTGAGAATGGATTATTGTTCTGATATTTTCTTTTAGCTGTTTCTTCTCATATTTTTGTCTGTATCTCAACCATATGGTTACAAATTTATTTTGCTTTTTCCATGTTTTTCATAATACATCTTTCTGCTATCTTCTTACCAACCACTTGTTGTCAGGGATACTTGCGATTCCAGAATATTTAATCATACAGGCTTACCCATTCTATGGAAACAGAATCCATATTTTTGGAGTGTATGACCAGACAAGGGTATGATCCTTCTGGCTGGCAAAATTCCATCTTTAAGTGTTGGCAAGACCCGAGTGAAACAGACAGGTAGGGCTGAGGTACCACAGGACAAGGATCTGGCCTCTGGCATATTTAATTTGATTCTCAGTGGCCAAGCAGCCAATGGCAAGGAAGGGATTGGGACAGAAGGGCACTCCAGAGGTGTGAAAGCATCCCAGAACTGTCTCTCAAAGGCACACCCAGGTTGCATCTGGGGCTGGGGTACATCACACCTTCCACAACTCCAAATCCAAATCTGTTAATGTAAGTTCATTTTGGCTGACACAATGCCTGGGGCATGTTATTGGACATGTCTTTCTACTTCTGCTTACAAATCATTCATCCCAGTGGGTACTTTACACTGCATTTCCCTCTATACTGCCTTCACAAAAGGCAGATAAAACAGACTTTTACCTGAATGGTGAAGTGCTTCCATCAGCCCATTGATAGAGGTCAGGGCAAGCGTTTGATGTAGCTTGCCCCTCTCCACTTCTCCACAGTCCAATCCAAAAATCACCATCAGAAATTCCAGAGCCTGATTTAGTGAGATTTTGTAACATGTTTTCTATTAGTTTCTGTTCCACTTCACTTTCCAGGCTCAGAAGAGCTCCACCATCAATTTTACAGGCTTGACGGGCCTCCGGAAAGCCCACGCGTCTCGACACATCCTGGAAATATGCTATCTTGTAACAGGGATGCTTGAAATCACCATAACACACCTTTTGACCTAAAAATACACGTACAGGATTGTTTAGAGAATACAATGCACATCACTTCTAAAATACAATTCAGCATAATTGCAGTGACAAAGAAAATGAACATTTTTTTTTCTAGCCACTGAATAAAAGTAATCATTTTGTACCAGGAGAGTTGATGTTTTAACACTGCAGGTCTCCTATGTATCTACTGGGGTAGTATGTCCCAGTCCTACAAACCCTTGGCAGACAAAACTGCCAACAAAGTCACTGAGTGGACCCATTAACATTTTTGCGATTTTTTTTTTCTTTTTTTTTCCCCCCGCTGCTTAAGGATTGTAAAATGGGGGGCTTTTCTTTTAAAGATGTTTCTAAAACCTATTTTATAGAAGAAGAGTTATATTTCCATTAAGGTCAAAAACATAAACCCATTCCACTTTAACTTCAATGGAAACAGAATCAGGCTCTAAAATTTCATTAACAAAAGGCAGTGATGAGTTTCTTAGTTTTGTTATCTAACACTGGATTGGATTTCTAAGGATCTGGAAATCCTGGTTCCAAACAGTCAGTACAATAAATGGAAACTACAGAGTAGCATACTCAGGTAAACATGCTGAAACTACTTTTAAACACGTTTTCTCCCATTTAGCATTAATAAACATCAGCACAAACATATCAGTACATGCTATTTCATAATATTTTCCATATACAAAGTTTAACCCTGCTTTTGTTCTTTTTTTTTTTTGTCTTGTTCAGCTATAAGTTCCCTGTGAAACAGAAAGCATCCAGTGGATTTTAATTCTCCTTTTGCATACATTGCTGTCATTCCATTAAGTTTTACTTAACTCCCATAAACCTAAGTAAATAATCAGGTCTAATACAATTCCTTTGTTGCAGATTGCAATTGTATACAGCATAATTGTTTCTGCCTGTTATTCCTCCCTTGCCCTCTCTACTTATGCTTCTGGGTGCAGGAAGGCGAGTCCCCACACTGCCACCACTGTCCCAGCTGCTCCTGCCTTGCTCCAGCAGGGGCTGCAGGGAGTGGCTGCACAGAGCCAGGCTAAGCCAGGGACAGACAGCAGCAGTGATGAGTTTCCCCTCCCTGCACCTACTCCCAAACTAGCAGGGAATACCCAGGGGGGCTGAGCAGGGAAGGGAAACCCACCTGCAGCCACCACTATACCCAGCTGAGCCTGGCTCCCTGTGCAGCAGCCCCAGCTGGAGCAGGCCGAAATAGCTCTTGGATTCCCTCTGTCCCTAGGTCAGCTGGGGACAATAACAGTAGCAGACAGGTCTTCCCTTCCTGTGCTCAGAGGCGTAGGTAGAGAGGGTAAGGGGAAAATGTGGGGAGGGGGAAGGTGCTACTGAGCACAGAAAGGAAGGCAGGGGGTGCCAAAAAGGGGGGATTCTTACTTGATTCAGGGACTTAAAAAAGTTCCTGGCTGCTGCTTCCATAGTGTGGTCTGAACTCCTCAAGGGACCCAGGGAACAGGGCTGCAGGGAACTGTGGAAAACGGGGTTTAACAGTGCCACTGCAATCCCTCTAGGTCTGGCCCTGTTTTTACCTATTTTCTTTTTAAGAAAAATCTAGAAAATTATAAAATCCTACCAACAAACTATATATTTTTTAACTGAATTTCAAATTTAGGTAATGTCAGAAATAAAGTTCATTCACTTCAGCCTCATCTTGCATGTGCAATATGATACAGTTTTTAACTGCATAACTGTGCACACTGCTTTTTAGCAAGATTCTTGATTCATTCTGTGTATAGGATGGGTTGAGGCACAGGGAATAATGCAGTTAGTCATTGTTTTTTATCCCCATTCTTCAATGATTGTTCCCTCCTCTAATGCAAAAACCCAGTGAATTATGTAGGTCACAAGACTCCCTTATAATGAAAAGAAGTATAAGGTTACCTAAATATCAAGCTCACCATCTACCTTCTATATAATTGCTAAATTTGAGTTTTAAAGTATTTATAGACTGATGGAAATTCTCTGCCTAGCAAATTAATCTTCCAATTTTCCAGTCAAATTTTAGGGATGTGTTCTCTTATTTGGGGTGCAAAACTCCTTCTGATCTCAAAAGTAAATTGTATGCATGCACTGAGGAAAGAAGACTCCTAAAATTACAATGATTATACTAGGCTTCCATTGAAGCCCAGAAATAAATCTGTCTGTCTCATCAAGCTACAATAGCCAATATTGGCACATATACGAGGTTTTGTGGGGACTGGGGTTTGGAGAAGGGTCATCACAGAACACTGAACAGCAATAGAAATAATTCTATAGAGGATATTATTGCTCCTGATGCTACCAACATTTTGTTGAGCCCGATGCTCAGTACCTAATAAACCATCTGCTCCACACTGTTTACAGAAACAGAATGGGTTACAGAATTGTCTGTACAGAATTGCAAACGTCTTATTGGAATTAGCTTCTAGACTGAAAAGACTCTAAAGACTCTATAGCCTGCATGTAAAGTCTATACATGCAGTTGTAAAAATTTATCTAAAATTCGTGATTAATTAAATCTTTGTAGATGCATGTCAGATCATTCTTGTATTTGTTTAAAACTTGTTTTGTATCACCTTAGCCAATACTGGTGTTCACCAGTTCAAATAAAATCAGTTTTTAAACTGAATTAAGTAAACTCATGCCACCTCTTTATCTAGGAAGTTTCACCTGGTGCCATCCACAGTTAGAACAGAAGGGATTTGCTCCTTAAAATAAGATGGCTATTTCCAAAATATGGTTCCTATAACACACTGTACAGGAAACTGAACAGCTCTAGGTAGAATTGATTTGGGTCATGGCCCTATCCTAAGCAGGGGGGGGGAGGGAGGGGGAGGGGGCGCGGAGAGAGACCAAAATAATGTTAAGATCTTCTGAAAAAGGTTTTGAAGACTTGTTTGTTCAAGCTAATTTAGTTCCTGGTGTTTAAACAGATAACTGTTTTGAGGGTTTTCTTTTTCTTTTTTACTTCTGAAGCACAGTTTTATCTTATCTTATCTGCTTCAGCAGAAGTTGTTCAATGTGTTAATGGAAATTTGGAGTTGTGTATTAATGGCTGGTAAATCAGTTGACATTTTAATGCCCTTTTCTGAACACACTGAGATGTCAGCTGCTTGAGGTTCATTTTTAACAGCTTTGTCTCCCTGCTACTTTATCAACTACAAAGCAGAAATTTTCTATCTGTGAAAAATGGAAGAATGTACCACTACTATATTGCAGACAAATGGGTAAAAATGTTCATAGCAAGCTGCTCAAGTTTTTTTCCTACCAAGACCTTTAAAACAGATAACAACCCATAAATTCATTTAGCAGACAAAATATAACTTGATTTACAGACCTGAAATAACTTGATTTTTTTGCAGCCAAGTCTAATGGAAGGAATAGAGCTATTTTGCAGAGAATGTTCTAATCAACAGGAGTAAGAGTGGTAGAATATTAAGGCACAATTATGACCTACATTATGTAAGTGATGCAAGAAGGCATAAGACACCTCTTCCTTTCATCACTGAGCACCTGGGCAAAAACAGGGCTGGAGAAGGGTCTAATATTACCTAGGATGGGATCCAACTAATGCATCATAAGAGATGCATGTTGGGTTGTTATTATTTCATAATATCTTCAGACAAGCTGAGGGTACCACTAGGCAGCATATCTAGTGAGGAGGAGATTAATACAGTTCTTTTTGGAAATGTGTTGCAACTGTCCAACCAGCTGTGTGAACCATTCTACTTTAGTTAGACAGTGGTTCAGACCTCTTCAGTCTCACCAACCTAAAAGAAGCAGTTGTATCTATACCTAAAAGTATATACATCTAAAAGTAATTTTAATAGATTCATAGACATTCAGGCTGGAAGGGACCCCAGAGGATCATCGAGTCCAGCCACCTGCCCAGGGGCAGAAAGTCAGCAAGGATCATAGGATCCCAGCAAGATAAACATCCAAAAGTGTCTTGAAGGCGTTTAAAGTGGGTGCTTGAACCACCTCCGGCAGCAGTCTATTCCAAACCTTGGCGGCTCGGACAGGAAAGAAGTTCTTCCTTATGTCCAGCCTGAAACAGTTGCAGAGGAGTTTGTGACCACTCAATCTTGTCACCCCTTGGGTGCTCTGATGAACAGACTTTCCCCCAGATCCTGGTGAAACACCCCTAATAAACTTACAGGTGGCCACCAGATCACCCCTGAGCCTGCACTTTTCCAGGCTGAAGAGTCCCATGGCTCTCAGCCTCTCATCACAAAGTCTGTTTTCCTGACCTCTGACCATGTGCATGGCTCTCCTCTGCACTCTCTCAGGCTTCTCCACATCCTTTTTGAATTGTGGGGTCCAAAACTGGATGTAGTACTCCAGCTGCACCCTCACCAAGGCCGAATACAATGGGTGAATGACGTCCTGGGATTTGCTTGATAAGCATCGATGGATGCAAGCCAGCGTTTTGCTCGCTTTACTAGCTACAGCATCACATTGAAGGCTCATGTTCATCTTGTGGTCAATCATGACCCCCAAGTCCCTTTTATCTGTAGTGCTAGCCAGCATAGCACTGCCGAGCCTATAAGCATGCTGCAGGTTTTTCCTCCCAAGGTGGAGAACCTTGCATTTTTCAGTGTTGAACACCATCAGGTTCTCATCCGCCCATTTCATGAGCCTGTCAATCTGCCTGGATCACACTTCTGTCCTCGGGTGCAGATGCTTTACCCCAGAGTTTGGTGTCATCGGTAAACTTGGCCAGTCCACTTCTGACACCAATGTCTACATCATTGATGAAGATGTTAAAAAGTAAAGGCCCTACAACAGAGCCTTGAGGGACCCCACTGGTCACAATGCACCACAACAATTGACTTCCATCAACCACCACCCTCTGGGTCCTGCTGCGGAGCCAATTCCCCAGCCAGAGGATTGTGGTGAGGTCGAGGCCGCAGTTAGCCAGTTTTGCCAAGGGGTGATCATGGGATACCAGATTGAAGGCTTTTTTGAAGTCAAGATATATAACATCAATCTCTTCCCCTTGTCCAGGTGATAGGTCACCTGGTTGTAAAAGGAAATGAGATAGGTCAGGCAAGACCTACTTGCAACAAACTCGTGCTGAGTATCCCTCAGGATATTGCCATCAGCTAGCCTGTATAGGATGGCTTCTTTGATACTCTTTTCCAAGACCTTCCCCAGGATAGAGGTCAGGCTGATGGGCCTGTAGTTTGCCGGATCTACTTTCCTCCCTTTCTTGAAGATAGGCACCACATTGGCCTTCTTCCAATTGTCGGGCACTTCACCAGAGCACCTGGAGTTCTCAAAGATCCATGCCAGGGGCTGAGCTATGATGCTAGCCAGCTCTTTGAGTATCCTTGGGTGTAAACAGTCAGGGCCGGCTGACTTGAAGGTATCCAGCCTGTCAAGGTGTTCCTTCATGAGGTCAGCTTTGATGGATGGTAAGGAATCTCCCTTACCCGGGCCTCCCTGTCCCGCAGTGGGCAGCGGCATCCCATGGGACTGGTGAAAAACTGATGCAAAGTACCCATTTAGCAAATTTGCTTTTTCCTGGGCATCAGTTGTCAGTTGTTCCATCTGGTTTAGCAGGGGTCCAATGTTGCCCTTGCTTTTCCTCCAGCTCCCCACATATCTCAAAAAAAGGACTTTTTATTGTCTTTAATATTTGTAGCTAGCTGGTTTGCCCTCTGCAGGGCCAGACCAGAGCAGAGTATTCCTCCTCTGTGGTGGCTCCAGTCTTCCATCCTTTGTAGGTCTTCCTTTTAAGATGCAGGAGGTCCGCTAGTTCCCTGGAGAGCCAAGGGGGCTGCTGTGCCCTTATGGTCCCTTTCCTCCGAGACGGGATAAACTTTGCTTGCACATCCAGGATCACTCCCTTGAGGAGCAACCACTCATCCTGAACTCCCCTCCCCTTTGGGTTGTGGCCCTTTAGGGCCTCACTGACAAGCCTCCTGAGCTTGTCAAAGTCAGCTTTCCTGAAGTCGAGGACTTCTGTATTACTGACTGACTTGCCAGCTTTACGGTGGATGGTGAAGGTGACCAGCTGGTGGTCACTGTCACCCAGCTTCCCTTCAATCATTAGGTTGCTGATTTAGGTCATATACCTAACAGTGTTAGGTATATACCTAACAGAAGCAATTGTAGGATGTTGTCCAAACTTCCCCCTCCCCCCTTCAAAAAATCATTTTATCCCTTTTTTTCTAAAACAAACATTTTCTGATTAAAAATTAATGTACGAACCAAATTCACTTAGGCCTGCTGTTAACACCTTCCAGCATTATAACTGGAGCGTTCTGAAAATATTCCAAATTAAATTTCTGTACCTGATTCAGTTTTTTGAATTTCATTCAGAATGAACAGCTAGAAAAAAAGCCAATCCCAGATTCCCTTTTTGGTTCTGATGCCACAGTCCAATGATGGGATGTTTTGATGACAAATATTGATCACAAGAGCAGCAAAATTTTCATTTGAATGTTTGAAATTTCATTTAAAATGTCTACTAATATCGAGTTAAGAATTTTATTTTCTTCATGATCAAACAGGAAATAAAATCAGCAGTGCATTTATATATTTAGTTTTCCTGTGGGTCAATTTTCTTTATGTTTCTGTAGTGATGCATTATTACATGGAATTACTTTTATGTTTGTACTCACAAGTAACTGATTCCAAATGATAACATAGGAGACGCATTATTGATAAGACCTGCACAACTTTAAAAAGAGTATTCAAGATTTTTTAGATGTGTATGTTCATTTTGCGCCTTTATTGGTAAATGCCCGACTTTCAAGACACACCTTGGTGGCTAGATTCCAGAGGAGGAGGCACAGCATTTTCTGTACATCAGGCTCTCTTAGTTGTCTTCAGGCAGGCACCCTGCTCTGCCAATCATCAACTTCTTCATCCTCCTAACTATACAGAATGCAACCCAAATTCTAGGGACCGTGTATCTATAGTGTTTAGGCAAGGTATGTGTAAAGCCTGATTTGATATGCTCTCTTTAAAAAGATCTGGGTTAAGCTGAGACATGGAGGGGTCTTTAATCAAGATTAGAAGAGAAGGAGCCAGAAGCAGCTGTTGAAAGAGCTGAGGAAAGAGATTTGGTGAAGGAATCCAGAGAAAGGGGAAGCTAATATTAGGCCTTATTTAGGAGCCTCAAATTGATACATCTGAAGAGGTTCAAAAGAGCCACACTTCAACTCTGCATCACCAGGATAAATATCTGGTTCCAATGAAAGTACCAACTGAGAACAAGGCCTCACTGTCCCAAGCAGTGTGTGTCCATAATCCTACTGCAAAGAATTTACACTCTAAATCAACAAGGCAGAATCATTTTCCATGTCTTAGCATTTGGGGGACTAAAAGGAAGATCAAGTAACCTGTTTAACATTAGATAAAATGTCAGTGGCAAACCTGTTGGATAAGCCTTGACATCTTGAGTCCCATTTCAGTATCGTTACCTCAATGCTGTAAGTCTTCTCATAGTCAAGTGTGACCTTCATATTTCAGCTGGAGCCAGTTGAAAATTTTGTTTAAAAAAAAACATTGTTTCACTAAAAAATGCCATTCTATTAAGCCCAGAACATTTCATGCAGGGAGCTGATGGACTTCAGTTCAATCTAAAGCAGGACTCCAATGAAATTCTGCCTGGATTCCTAGCTTGGATTCCCAAGGTTAGGAATCCCACAGTTTCAGGCTCCTTGATTATAGGATAGACCCACCAGAGGGACTTCCCCGCAAGGACCAAGTGCTTGCTTAGGACCAATGGGATTTGTCATGTTACAGCGTTTATAGGACTGGTCTGCAAAATTTACCTCTGTGCACAATGTCAGGCATACGGCACCTTACGTCCCAGATGAATCCTTTACTGGCCTCCTAAGGTGTTTATTTCCTAAATTAACAATTCCCCTTTAAATTATTTAGTGTTTCATAATACCTACTAGTGGACAGCCTTTGTTTGATGCACAATATATTAGTAATTCTACGTTTCTCAGCAACACAACACTAAAATAAGGTTTCACATATCAGTAGAAAAGGAATAGCCTGTGAAAGCTACATGAGAAAGTATCACATTAATTCATCTTATCACTTTAGTGTTGTTACATTTTATAAATTGAAATTTAATAAACTATTTGATTAAGTAAAAAGAAACACAGTATGACACATGCATGTCTCTGTTCCCCATCTCATATTGCATGTCTATGGAAATGGCATTTTCTGATATTTCACACTTAAATGAGCTGGCAAAATGTCTTTGTTTTTAATGAATATTTTCATGGGAAAAAAATGCTAAAAAGCAGTGTGGTCTGTGGTTAAGGAACTGGACCAGATCTCAGTTTTTCTGCATTCAGTTCCTGTTTTTGCCAAAGACTTCTAATAAGACATGGGATATTTAAATTTTCTGTGTCCCAGAAATCCATCTGTAAAATAATGTTTCCTTCTCCCATTCTATTTCATTTATGTTGATTAGAAACTCTTTGGGGCATGGACTGGGCTTAATACATGTTTGTAGATAATGGAACTCTCATCTTGGTTTGCTACTTGCACATTCTAATACAATACAAATAACAATATGATTTCACTGAATTCTAATGTAAATTGTGTCTCTTGATGTCCAATGCATACTGAATGAATAGCCCACTCAGTCCCAGAGAGAAGTGGTGGCAGAGAAGTTCAAGTTACCTGCTATGATTCCAAAGGTATGAGCTTGAATATGGTTCTGGGCTCATGCAAAAGGCTGCCCCAGTCAATCCAGCTATCATTGGGGACTAAGTTATTTGGGCTGGGGAGTTAATAGTAGCCAAATGTGAAAGCCATATTACTCTCTTGTATGCCATTGGCTTTACCTACTTTCCCTGCTTTAGCAAACTGAGATAATAGGCTGCTAAGACTCAGGTGGACCTTTTGACTTTTTTCCCCCTTAATTCAGTCCCATGTCACAAAATATCTGAGATTCTTGAAAACAATGTACCCACATTTGTGCCTTTTTCATAAACTATTTGGATGTTGTATGTATCTTACTCTTTAGAACTAGAATCTATTAGGAATGGTGGATTTTTTTCTCTCTCATATGCAGGACCTCTTTTCTCACACGTTTTAAAAATACATGGCATAGTACCATTCTATTAAGGATATCAAGTGTTAACCTATGACTAATCAAGGAGGCCACTGTCTTAATATATAACATGATTAGTCTCTGATCAACACTGATTAGATGACTTGATTAATTATATCAAAACCTGCCAATAACAAAGGAAAATGTTTTCTAAACTTACTGGTAAAGCTACACTTCACAAGAAATCTAGGAGCTGACTTTTAAACATACAGCAGTGTATATAGAAGGTACAAAGAAAAAGTCTTTTCCTGGAAACACAGACATTTGTTAGTCCGTAGAGATGGTGAGGATTTCCCCTTCTTCTTTCCCCCTACCCTGCCCATTCTGTTAGAATTTTTTGAGCTACCAAAATATTTTCCCCTCTGAATCAAAGGAAAAGTTAAAATCTTGAACAGTCTCATGAACCGGGGGAGGAGGAGCAAGACTGACTCAATCAAATTTTAAAAGAAATCAAAATATTACAATTTTATCATGCTTTAAAAAAAACTTTTTATTTATGATAAAGTAGCTTAATTTTTTTAAAGGAAATATCAATTGGAACCAAAAAATATTGGAAATATTCACTTTGGATATGTCAAACCACTGCATTCTAAAACTACTGAAGCCTTTTAAAATATTCAAATGGGACATTTTAATTTTGAGAAATCAGCATTGTAAGCAGGCTTCTACAAGTGGGGTTTGCTCCCTGAGACGTCTTACTAAATACAAAACCAATCTTTAATCAACAAACAAACAAACCAAACCAAACCAAACACTTCTGTGTTGTCAAGGCAGTAGAGGGGAGGTCTTTGGCTCTGGCTTCAGTACAGCAGTATGGACCTTCCTTGTATCAAGCTGTTCTGCTCACAGCTTGCTTCCACTTCCCTTGCTTACTCTTCTGGGACCCTTTAAAGCTCCTAATGGGATACTTCCTGCCTATCCAAATACCACGCAACTGAGCTCCTTCAACAGGGATGACTGTTCCCTCTTAAAGGAACAGACCACTCTGTGTCAGGCATTTTCCACCAAGAACAGTTTAGACAAAAAATCCTCGCTAGCCTGAATATATAATATTTATATCATTGTAGCCTCATCTATGCTAGGTACCCAACAAACAGAAGTACTATTTATATCTAAGATATTACAGTTTAATGCAATATAATCTTAAGAAGAATTGAAGAATTCTAGGTGTGGTATCAACTAAAGTGCTGATTCTTCTGCTACAGTGGATTAACGCACTAGCCTTTATTGCTAACTTATGGGTAATACAGGTTTTTAAAAATAATTCAGAGCTTTGTAAAGGCAACTTTCACAAAATCTGTTTCAATTGTACATAATCAACTCCAACAAGTACTTTTGCTTTGTCCACTAATTGACTGCTAATACAAATAAATATATGAACTTTAACAGATTCCACTAAAATATATAAGCAGTAGGTTTTAATTTCAAAATTTTAAACAAATTTGTCAAAACAGAATAAATACTTGTGCAGTCCCGACTTTAAATGCATAAATGTATATATTGTATATTTAATATATTTCAAGTGTATATATTTGGAATATATTTATTGGTTTGGGTTTGCAAGAATGTCAGTTTTTCTGAGCAGCTGCCTGGCATCCAAGGATCTATGGTTCTAGTTGGAGCCATGGCTAACAGCTTCCAGCTCCATAGCAGAAATTCTGAAAGGTTTAGTTATAACTGAATGACCTTGATACCCCAGAATCCGTGACTCTGAGGTAACCTGATGGATTTTCTTGGTGAGATGGAGAGTCTGTAGCAGAATCAAGTTCCCAGCTGTGAATAAGTCTGCAGTCTGCCCAGAAGCGTGTTCCACAGCCCAGACCCCAGGAATTTTGGAAGCCCTGTTCTGGTGGGGGGTGGGGGTTCACCTGGACATGTACCTCAGTGCCACAGATCCTGGAAGTGCTATCAGACTGTAATCCAAGGATTTATCAATTCAAAGATGCCGCTGTAGAAGCGCCCCATCGCATTCTGTGTTCCACAGTACTGGATCCTTTAGAATCATTATTTTTTTAAGAGTTGCTGCAACATGCCCAACAGAAAACTTGCATCCATTGTTGTGAATGGAGTTGAAATTATGCAACTGCTTCTGTAACAAGCTTTTTTTTCCCCCTCTTAATCATTTATAATATAATCATCAAGGCTCCCCTTGGCCAAAACTAAGCACAAAAATCTAAATTTAAAATTGGTCAGTTTTTCCCCACCTTACAAAAATAAGCAATACTATCTATGTAGTCCATCAGTTCATGTCATTTAATAGATTTGGCTTTTAGTAGGAAAGATTTAATTTGGGCAATGAGTAAACATATGAAACTGAATTTCTGAAAGTATATCTGTATTAAGCAGCCATTCTGAAAGATTTTAAAAAATAGAGACATTAGTATATGATGAAAAGTTAACATAACAAACTAAAGAAAAGTTTAACATATAAGGCACAAACTTCACCTCATCCTTGGTAAGTAAAACTGCTTTGCAATGTTCTTGTGTTGCAAAACAGTTCTAAAGTTCCTAAAAGTTGACAGCTGAGAATTGCTTTTGTATAAATGAATCCCTGGGTGATGCATCTAGAAGAGTAATCTGTATACTGTACTATCCTAAAATACCTTATGCAGGAAATGTGGGGATGAAGAACATGGCTTGAGCACTGTTTGCTGTTGGGCTCTGCAGTCACTGCAAATCTTTTGCAGCTGTCATGGTTGAGCATAAGTTAAAGTAGTCCATAAGATACTCAGGACAGTTAACCTCAAGCATTGAAAAGTCATGAGTCAAGCTTCATGGTTTAAATATGGATTGGTTAAAAAATAATGGGATTTTGTTATGTTCCTTTTTTCCCTTCTGTTTTTTGAGACTTTTAGAGAGTCACATTTTTAAGCGTTTCTCTGCCAAATATAAGGGTTGGAAAATTACTTTAAAAATAGAAGCTGATATTCTCATGTAATATGCCTTCAGGAGATGGCTGGGCCTCTAAGGAATAAAACCCAAATATTATTGCAAAAAAATGTTTTTTCTGAGGGCTGAACCAGCCCAAGGGACTGGAGTAACAAAGAAGTGGCACAGTCACTTTTTCTATACTTGAGTCCAGAGTTCAGTCAACCACTATGTCTCTTCAATTATATTCTTGTTTCTTGTTCCCATAATAAGCCATTTAAAAGCAGCCCAGTCTATCAGTAAAGTAGCTGGTAAAAGAAGGAGAGGAAACTGAGCAGAAAAGCACCCAAAGAATAGGGGGCAGGAAAAAGAATCTAGGTAGTGAAGACTCAGATGAGACAAGCTATCTGAAAAGACAAGGGAGAAAAGAGTCAAGAAGAAAAGGGTGAAATGGAAAAGTGTGTTAATTAAAAGGAGGCTGAAAAAAACCCATAGACCAGCAGAAACTGCAGTATGGGGAAATGTTCCCAGACATTTTGTAACCAAAAAAAGGTAAATCTGCTGAATGTATGTGAAGTATTCGCTCTGTTATAATGACCTAAATACATGAGCCCAAATCATCCAGAGAGCGTACGGTTTAGAAAGGGAGGCCTGCTTCCTCCTCACCAAAGAACCCTCTCTTGGTACTCTAGATCAATGCTGGTGGTCAAGGGCTCTGGTGGTTTGCATCTTACCAGTCAATATGAAGGAGCCATCACTAAACATAGGAGAATACAGAGGCTATGGTAGATGGACCCTAAAGTAAATATTGTGAGCTCTTCAAAGCAGAACTGGATTACTATTCTCTGTCTGT